TTATGTGAACCTTGTATTCTTGTGGGAGAGAGTGATAATAAACAAGTAAAATAGCAGAAAAAACATCTAGGAGTGTGATAGGTGTTCAGGTATGGGATAGATTGGTTGGAAGAGTTTTGCTGAGAAGGTAACATTGGACAAGGATCAGAAAGAGGATCAGGAAGAGGATCAGTGAAAGGCGAGAGAAGGAATAGGTGAAGACAAAATGTAAAGATCCTGAATCTGGAGCACAAGGAGTTACACACTGGGATAGCGTGTAAGCAAGAGGGGAAGTGGTCAGAGAAATCATGTGGGCCAGGCGGCCCTCGCAGATGGTGCTGTGACGTTTATAGCCACTGTGTGAGAATTGAGACTGACTCTGAGTGAAATGGGAGAGGCTTCGCAAGGTGTTGAGAGGAGGAGTGACATGATCCTGTTTAGAGGCTGCTGTTGGCCAGTGCTGTTGAGGGCATGCGGCACAGGGAGTGTTGTAATCCAGTGGAGAAGTGCTGGGGACTTGCATTAGAAGATTAGCTTCGGAAGTTATGGAGGCCATGGTTTGGGCCTTCTAAAGGGTTGGAACAATAGGGTTTGCCGATAGATTGGTATCGAGTATGAATAAAGAGAGAAGTCAGTGAAAACCCCCGGGGGACAATGAATTGAATGCTTTAAGAGTGAAAGAGAAAGCGGTGACTGATTTAGAATGGGCTAAGGAGAGAAATCTGTTTGAACTGGTTGAACTGGACTTCGCAAGACAGGGAGAGTTCATGTGAGAAGTACAGGGCTTGGCAGAGGGACTTGGCCGGTGTGACATCGTGAACACGTGCTGTTGCAGTTGTATGTGCGGACACATGGAGGGCTGGAGATACAAGTCGAAGGGTGTTTGGGGGCTGATGAAGGGGGGTCCTGCACGGTGAATACCTTGGCTATTTAGCTCAGGCATCGGGAAGCACAGGAAAGGTGTCCGTAAAAAACGTGAAGTACTTAAGCTTAGTACTTTAATTCTTTTGCTTCTTTTCTTCTCTGTCTCCTCCTGATATTAGTTCTTTCTTTCTTTCAAATATCCACTATTTATACCTTCTTCCTCTGTGAGAGAATTCTATTTGAAAGAAATATATATGAAATGAACCCATATTAGCTTGTGACTATCTTGATATACTTATTAAACTTTTCAAATTAATTTTTATTGGGAAAAATGTGGTTATTTTCAAACTAGTAGGGAGAATATTTTAGAGGAAAGGAAATTCTGTGTTTGATCTTGAAGCCGTACTGATGCTGAAATCAAAGCTGAAAATACACTTGCCTTGATATAAGGCCGTTTAGAAGCCCTGGGAGAAAAGTCTGATGACTTTTCCTTTTATCCTCCTTCCCCCTCCCTGACCTGTACCAGGGTTCTTCTCCCTGAGTTCCTTCACTGTGGGGTCCGGTCTGGTTCTGCGGCGTTTCGCTCTGGTTTCTGTTGTCTCTGCTCTCCTTGCTCCTTTGTGTGGTGGTGGTCAGGCTTCCCATGGGGTCAGGTTTTCTTGAATAACGATTTTCAGTGCTGCAGGTTGTCTAGCATGTGAGGTGCCTGCGGAGGGGGTGTGAACAGTGGGCAGTGTCTCACTGAAGCTTTCTGGATGAAGCTGGGAGACCTGAGGACACGCAGAGGAAAGAAGGGTTACCATCAGGGGAACCCACGTCTCGTTGCTTGTGTCCAGGCGCGGCGTGCTGATGGTAACGAGGAGGGTGGGGAGCTGTGGCTACACGTTGGAGAACCAAGAAGAGAAGGCTGCGTGGAAAACTGCTAAAATTTCAACCCCTGCTTATTTTTATCAGATTTACCACTCTATTATACATGGTGAACTGATTTAGTTCTTACAGTATTACATTTTTTAAAAGTAGTGGGTTATATTTATTAAAGGTAGGAAAAGAAACATGCTCTGCAGAGTGAGTGCAGCCCAAACAAAAGTAGGAAAAGAGGGCCGGGGGTATAGCTCAGCGCCCACCTGGCAAGTGCAAGGTCTCAGTACAAAAAAAAAGTAAGAGAAATGGTTCACTCTGCAGGTTGGGAGCAGACCACGGAGCAGAGCGTAGTGGCGCAGAGCTTACTGATGGCCAGCTTCTGTGTCTCTCACTCCTCAGGCTGGTGTTGGATCTGGGCCATCCTATCAAAAACCTGCCGGAGTTCTTGCATTTTCTCATTGATGCCAGGTACAGGGCAGGGGCACAGGTGTCCTTGATCTTCCTGATTAACAGGTCCCCACTTGCCCGGCTGGCCAGCTACACCCTAATCTCCTGATGTGCTTAAATCTTCATGGGGTGTTGAGGGCGCGGATTCCATCTTCACATGGCTCCCTCCTGTGAAGGGGCTGGAGCCCTGCCCACTGGGCACTGTGTGCTGTCCCGCGGCCTTGGATGTTTGTCGCTCACTGATGAGGTTGAGGAAATCTTGTCAGAAGACAGGAAGAAGGAAGTTAGTACTGCTGAGCTGCCTGTTCGCCGGGAGGAACCTTGGTGGATGTGTCAGGAGAGTAACTTTATTATTAGAAGGAGTTCCATGGTCAGAGTTCCATGTGTCCTGTGGTGGGCAAAGCATAGCAAAGAGCAGTATTAGGTAAATTACTAAGAGCCATAGCCCTAGCAAGGTAAGAGTCAAGTTATATCATGTACAGATACAAATTCTCTGTGATGAGTGTGATCATTACGTGTATCTAAAATGTACCAATAAAATCTGATTGGAAGAAAAAGATTATCCACATTATGGATCGAATGAAGGAGTCTCTGTAAAGGTGCCCATCTAAGCTGTGGTGAATTCTGGGTCATTAGTGACTCTATCCAGAGCAGTACTAGAGTCTTGCTTTTTGAAGAGGAACCTCGGGTCTTTCAGGGGTTCACAGGAGTACCTTTCCTCTTTGGGGTGGTCTTTTCATCAGACAGTTGGGTTGGAACTGGCTCATAATTGCCAGTCCCTGTCGCCCGCCCCAAGATACGGCCCTCTCCTCTGTGCAGGTTCCAACAACGCTAGTCTGAGGTTGGCAGGGTTAGTGGGCAAGCTTTGCAGGCATTTTGGTGAGTGGCCACTAATCCTAGTTGTGTAAAAATCGTAGTGACAGTTTCCTGTGTGAGGTATAGCTTTGCACTGCATCCCTGGAGGAAGGACCAGTCTGAATGGTTCTTCAGGAACAGGAACTACGGCTAGGGTTTTGCGGGGTTGTAAGGCTGCGTTTCTTGCCTGTCAGCCTTTTGATTTCCTAAAGAGACATCAGACGTATTTCTTCGGTGTCTCTTATAATGAATGACAGCGACATGCTTGGGAAGACAGACTCTAATTTTACTCATAAATTTCTTCCTAGTAAGGGAGTAGGAGGACACCATGGGACAATGAGAAACTCTTGGTTAAGACGGGCGCGGTGGCTCATGCCTGTAATCCCAGCGCTGGGAGGCTGAGGCAGGAGGATCACTGTGAGTTGGAGGCCAGCCTTGGCTACAAAGTGAGTTCAAGACCAGCCTGAAGTACATAGTGAAACCTTGTCTCAAAAAGACAAAAACAAAAAACACAACCTCATGGTTAAACAGTTGGCCTTTGAATTGCTGTGTCAAAGCAGGTGTAAAGAAATTCCCACTCGGGCTCCCCTCAACTCCAAATATGGCTGTAGATCTAGCTGAGAGTTTTCCTGAGAAGGAAATTAAAACAGAATAATTGAGTTTGCTTACATATGTTGTGCAGTCACTGGTGCTTTTTCATAGGAGATAGAGATGTCTTGGGATGGGGGCATTGCAGATTGTCCTAGGCGCCATTTACCTAGTCTTTCATTACAGTGGGAGGTCAGGGTTTGGCTGACCTCCCTCTCTCTAGGAGCAGGGGAAGTCAATCTTCCAATGCCATGAATCAGGCACATTGACCGCCTGACACATGGAGCAGGGCGGGGGCCGTGGCTTGGTACAGTTGCACGCCCCGTGTCCAGGCTTCCTGTAGGTTCGATTGGCCCTGGGTTTTCCCTTGGCCTCCTTGGGTGTGTTTATAGCAGTGCCAGTGGCAACAGCCATAATTGTGATCTGGCTCTCAGCCCTTCTCCTCCTATCTAAATCTGGATCCCAGTACTGAACCCAGAAAAAGCCATGTCCAGCAGGTGCATCATAAGAGTCTGGGGGCCTATCTGCAAATCTGCCAGGATCTTTGGAAGATACTGGGTCTCCCTGGGGCTCCAGCTGCTGGTAGAAATGGGGGAGAGACCTATGTGATCCTGAGAGGCAGGTGGGCGTAGGGACGGGATCATCCATGGTGTCAGTTTCCTTTTCCCCCAGAGGCCTCTTTAAGAAACACAACTGTTACTCTGTTTGTTGAACTTTCAGGGCACAGGAAGGAAATAAGAGATATGTTACACTCACAGCAATGGTGAGACGAGATGGAGAACAGAAAAATAGTGTTGGAGAAATTGAGTAAAAGGAGGGAGAAAAACAGAAGTAATTTGAAGACTCAGTCAATCTTTGCCTCCCCTACCATCTAGACAGAGTTATTTGCTGATTAGCTAGTAATTTGTGCACATCATAATGAATATTTAGAGGAGGTGGAATATATAGTATTCATTTTCTTCTGCATATTGCACCTTAGGTGCTAGCATTGTTGGAGGTGAAGGGGCAGTCCTACCACCTTTTTTTAAAATAATGTCTCAAAATAGGTTACTGTGGTTTAGAATTTAGTTGATCTTTATGGGCAGTCATGGGTAGAACTTGAAAAACCGTTCATATAAATGTAACCTGTATTTCACCAGCAAAAAAGTGCATAGCAATTTAGAAATTTTAAGGGCAATTTATGAAAAATAAAATATAAAATAATCTAGATTTCCCCCCTTTACCACATAGATATTTGTACAGTTAAACTGGTACTATTGAGTTAATGAAAAGAAACAAAACAGTTGTTTATCTGTTCCTGGCATTAATTTTGGTTGGTTATTAATCAACACTTGTTATATGTGGAAAATACAGAGTTTTTGGTAGTGCAGAATTGTGCGTGTTAATGGAATTTTATTCTTCCTCAGGTCATGTTTACTGGTGAGAATATTCCTGTTCACCCTCATGTGTATAGCAATGGTCATATCTGTTTATCCATCCTAACGGAAGACTGGTCCCCGGCGCTCTCAGTCCAGTCAGTTTGTCTTAGCATTATTAGCATGCTTTCCAGCTGCAAAGAAAAGGTAGGAATTTTCAGAATTATTCTAGGTAATGTCTCTCCTTTCAGTTTAGGTAGAGTAATAATTTTCATATGTACTTATTTTTATTTGAAGGAAGAACTTGTACTTTGCCTTATAAAAGTACAGGGAATGTCATGATTAAGAGTAAAGTGGCGGGCTGGGGATTTAGCTCAGCGGCACAGCACCAGCATGGCAAGCACAAGGGTGTGAGTTGGATCCCCGGTACCGCAAAAAAAAAAAAAAAAGAGTAAATTGGAATGTTAAAGGAAATAAAACACTTGTGAAACAGAAAGTTAAATATCTCATGATTTCTTATATGAGAAACCAAAAATATAAATAAAGGGGAAGATAAAGGAGAGATGGTAGGAAACAGTGAAGTTGACTTTCTGGAGATTGGAAGGGAATCTGGGGAAGGGGAAAAGGGAAGTAAAAATGTGATACGTGTATATACCAGGTCCTCAAAACAAATGTAATTACTATATATTGCAAACATATACTAATAAAAAATAAATTGGGATATTATTTTTATCTTTCATTCCAAGAAGAAAATTTAAATGTTCAATATTCTATAAATGACTTGCTGTTTTGTTAAATTCATAAATCTGAATTTTATTTCCATCAGCATGCACAGGGTAAAGGTATATTAAAAATTCCTTTTTTCTAGATTTTGTAGTTGAAGGCCTAGAGACATTAAGTATAGCTCCTCTCTTTCCTCCCTCTGCCAGCTCCTATCCGTCCAGCCTTTTAGAAGATGCCCCAGAAATAAAGGTTTCCTTGAATGATCATGTGGAAGGAGGAGGGAGTCCACTGACCAGTAGAATTTTCAGGGCTTCTCCTGTGCAACTTTTTGAAATCCACAGATACTGTGTCTGGTGAAGGTGGAGGGAAGAGAGGCCAGAATGAAACACCGCATGAGTGGAGTTCCCAGCGCCCTTTAGACACCTGCGTGCTCTGTTCTGGTCCTCTCATGCTCCTGTTGGAGGGTTAGTGTGGGACAGTATTGATTATTTCTATATTTGAAAGCCTTCCTTTTCCCTGAGGCTTGCCTTTGTATTATTTACAGGAGATTAGGGAGCGGTACATGGGCATGTGTATTTAGCAGTTTTTTTCCCTTGTCCTCTAAATCAAACTGACTGCTGTTTGTTGGCTTGTTTATTTATTTACAGTGAATAAATGGAACTGGGGGTTGAACCCACGGGCACTGTGCCACTGTGCTGCGCTCATGGCTCCCCTGCTTTTAGGGACAGGATCTCACTAAGTTGCAAAGTTGCCCAGGCAGGACCTGACCTTGTGATCGTACTGCTTCAGTGTCCCAGAGTGCTGGTCAGACTGCCATTGTGATTAAATTAGTATGTATTTTAAATGGTAGGTTATTTAGAATCTGAAACAGATTAAGCCATTATTTCACTGAGTTTCTTGGCATGTCTGGTCTATAGGAGGTTCTTGGTGTTTGGTATAAAATACAAAGAAGAGAGTTCTTTGTTCAAATAAGTATAGGAAATAATTGGGTAAATTGTTTTTTGGAATGGTAGGGTTATGAGCCCTTAGTATGCAAATGTTATACATAAAAGGAAAAAATTAGCAGTTAAACTATGACACATCATTAATTAAAATTCACAGATGTGCAGAAAATAACACATCTTAGATGACATAAGGTACGTGCATCTAATATTGATACCACCTTTTAACTTTAGTTTCCTCTCTTTTGAGGTTTTTTTCCTAAGCTACATCGTAAGGCTTTGAGTGAGTTTTATCTCTAAAGGTCTTGGAAGTAAGTGTTACTCACTACTGCATAGTTTTTCCTCTCACCCACGATCAGTACATACATTTTCAACTTTCATGTGGACTGGAGAGCGTTCGGCAGTTGTGAGGCTTCTGTATACCTGTTATGCGTAATGATCATAGGAAGATGAAATGGTGCTTATGAAATGTAATAAAACTTAAAAAGAGATGATCACCAGTGGTATCTGCCCATGGTTTCTGCACGTGCCTTAGGGCTATTAGCTTTTGTTTACATTAAGTGTAGTGGTTTAGCATCACAAACCAGAACAGGACTGTGCTCTCTATGCCTCTTACGTCCTTTCACATAATAGGTGTTTGCTAGTAGTTTCGTTCATACGCAGTACAAGACTAAGGTCTCCACTTAAGGTACTGATAAGCTGTATTTGTTACAGAATAATTAATGTACTTAACTAAGATGACTTGGCAGTCAGAATTCCTGTGAAATATAAAATTTGGGAGAAAGTGTATTAGGTGTCTGTTACTTTTGCAGTTCTGAGTGCTGGGTGACACAGGTGCAGAGGAAATAAAGCAGTTATACATAGATTTCATACTTTTCAGGAGTTTTCTCCAATTGTATTAACAGATTAATCTTGAAGTGCTGTAGTTATAACATCTTTTGCCCTAGTGTTCTTTTTTAAAAATGAAACCACAATTAACTTGCAAGGCCGTTGGGACGCGCAGCGGAGATGCTGTTCATGTGTGTGAGTTTCAGGGGCGCCAGGTGTGCAGGTGCTTTCCTACCTGCTGTCTAGGAAGTCCTGCTCACCCTTGTTTTCTGGTTGGTCCTTATTTAAATACTGTCTCTTTTGATCAGTCTCATTGAGGAAAGGACTTTTTAAACTTTCATCTTCATTTGCTTAGCTAAACATAGTTCACTTGGGGCTGGGGATTTAGCTCAGTGGCACAGCGCCTGCCTGGCAAGCGCAAGGTTGTGAGTTCGATTCCCAGTACTGGAAAAAAACAAAAAACAAAACAAAATAAAAAACATAGTTCACTTAAGGTCAGAATTACAAAATATTTAAGAATGGGAGAAAAAGCAAGTTATTAGAATAATTCGGAAAGTAGGCAGCAAGGTAGCTAATACATGAGGTCGTCTGCCGTATGGTCTGCAAACCTTCGTTTAGTGGCTTCACTGTAAATTTGACATGTTACCACACCCTCGCAGGTGGCCGTGTATTTCCTGCATCTGGGTGGGAAAAGCCTCTTCCAGCATCTCCTTCCAGCGCTGTTGGCGGCAGCGTGCCTGGTCTGCTTCTCCTGCGGAACTGCCCTGAGTTTCTCACGTTGCATTCATCAGGGCGTAGAAACAGCGCAAAGGCCGTGGCGTGGCGGGAGTGCTGATTTATGTCTTCGTACATATTGTTTAGAAACACGGTGGTGGCGCACAGCTTAATGCCAGCACTCTGGGAAGCTAAGGCAGGGGGATCAGAAGTTCAACCCCAGCCGAGGCAAGTCAGCCACTTAGCAAGGGCCTGCCTCAAAAAAAAAAAAAAGAGGGTGTAGCTCGTGCAAAAGCCCTGGATCCAATCCTCAGTGCTGAAAAGAAAGAAAAAAAGAACCTGAATCTTTTGGTTGATCCTTAGCGATGTATTAAAGTGTGTATGTGTGGGGGGGTGTGTGTGTTACTTCTCTTTTTTTTGTAGTACTAGGGATTGAACCTAGGTGTTTGCACTGAGCTACATCCCCAGACTGCCCCCCTGCCCGTTCCCCCCTTTTTTTGAAGGCAGGGTCTCACTGATGCCCTGATTTGCCTAAGCTGGGATTGAATTCACAGTCCTCACCTCCTGGAGCGCTGGGATTGTGGCGTGTGCCGCCATGTGGCTCTTTTTATTTTTACTTATTCTAGTGAAGTGCTGGGGATGGAAGCAGGGCTAGACAAGCTTTGTACCACTGAGCTACACTCCTAGGCCTTGTAAAGTTTTACAAATTATTCTGGCTCCTCAGACCCTTAAGTTAGGTAGACTTTTCTATTTTAATTAGTTCACAGAAGTGACTATTAAATTACTTGGAGGGAGATGTGTAAAGAGTTTTGGCTTCATCTGTCTTTTTTGCTCCCATTTGGTTGTTAATTATCCTCTAGTGTTGCTCTTAGAACCCAAGCCAGAGCACACCCACCCAAACACCGCTCTTTAAAAACACAGTCTGAGTGTCAAAAGTCTGCATTTCCCAGAATATACTTACAGTTCTTAGTTTTTCCATGTTGGGCTTAAATATGTTAATTCCATAGTGACTCTGCTTAAAACCGTCTCCCGCTTAGTTATTCTAGCTTAGAACTCACCTGTTTTATCTCTTCTGTTGTTGTTGTTGTTTTTGGTTTCAGAGACGACCGCCAGATAATTCTTTCTACGTGCGAACATGTAACAAGAATCCAAAGAAAACGAAATGGTGGTATCATGGTAAGCAGTTTTAATTTGGAGTAACTATAGTATTTTGGTTTGAAAGTTGTATATCTGTTTGCTAAGACTTACGAAAACAGAGAGGATATTTGATGGCATATTTTTGTAATGTGGAATATATGCTTTAAAGTGCTGCAAGATATGTCATGGATAAGTTAGACTAGATTTTTGGTGGGGCTAACAAAGTCATAGCCATGATACAAATAAATACAGCATTACAGTCAGGGAGGTGATGGTGCATGCCTGTAATCCTGGCACTCTGGGAGACTGAGGAAGGAAGATCAATAGTTTGAGCCCAGACTGGGCCACTTAGTGACTTAGCAAGACCGTCTCAAAAAAGAACAAAACAAAAAAGGGCTGTACAGCCTTGGGTTCAATCCCCATTACTCACCCTGCTGCCTGTAATTACATTAACTGCTTTAACATCTGACACTACCATTTTATTACAGAAAGGAACTCCTTAGTATTCCGTAGCTCGGAATAGAACTAGCTGTTGATAAACTTTTCAGCACTCTCTAATGCTGACTTATATAGTTGAAAATATTTATGAGAAGTCCTTTATCTAAGATACTTTCAGAATTTACTTGCTTTTGAAAAGGAATTGGGGAAAGGTTCATAGGGTATAACAAATATAGAAGTTAATTCTTTAAATTAATATACAATTCACAGTAGAAATTAGTTTTCATAGAATTACAAATTGTATGTTACTAAGGTTATAGTTTCCCAAATAAAGTAGGAAGGTTTTTTTTTTTTCTTAATAGTTCAAAGACGTGTAATCCCCAGGTAAGCCAAATTCCCAAAAGGAAAAATGAAGTTTTTCAGACTAAATAAACCTCTTACAGTATATATATAGAAATTAGTTTTCCAAATAAACAGATTAAAAAATTCCTCTGTCTTTTCCCCTTAGTATAGATTAGCCATTTTAAAAAGTCACTGACTTCTAATTCACTTGAACCGTGACTATCCTAGTCCAGTTTCCAATTCCAGAGGCTCACAAAGTTTTTCCATTTATGGATAATTCTGGCTCCTGATTTACAAAGACCTTTCACATCTCAATATATTTTCTGTTCCCGCTTGAACCCTGAGTGCCTGAGTCAGCCCCTTCTGCTGCTCCCCCCTTCCAAAGGGGCAGACTTGTTGCAATCAGGGAGAGATAGTATTTCTTACTCATTGAGATGGTGGAGCACCTGTTACATCGTCCGCGTAAGGTAGCTTTGAATTCTTTCTTCACCTTTAAAAAGCTAAAGCATTTTGACTTCTGTTAACACATATTTTCTTCTCCTTTAAAAATTAAAGAGTATGAGTTAAGCAGTGTAAATAATAGCACATCATGGCATTGTAGTTGAATTTGGATAATCTTAATAAAAAGGTAATCACACTCACTCTTGGAGAGCATAGCCTGCAGCTTTGTTATAATGTTTAGATGTTAGCATGTCTTTTTCTACCTACCGGTTTTAATCCCAGGTGATCTCTATTCATCATGTTCTCCCTGTAACACGTACTTACCAAGAAATGTATACCCTTGAGATTCCTTAGCACTATCTAATTCTCAAAGGATTACAAGGAGAGACCAACTTCCATATGTGACCTGCAAACTAACCAAAAGTAGCAGAGTCAGGCCTGGGGGTGTAGCTTGTGGTAGGACATGTGCTTAGCATGAATGTGGCCCTGCATCCTCCACACCCCAAGACAGAAGGAATCAGAGATTGAAAAAGTCTAATTTAGGGTTGGATGAATTTGTCAGAACACTTAGCACTTCAGTTTCTAGAGGCCAAGTGGAGTTGCATGCCCAAGGTGCCCGCTCACACTCACCAGGTGTGGTGCTGACCAACATACTTGGGTCATGGTGGGCTAGAGCGCTTGTCAGATGTAAGCAGAGAGGGAAGGGAGTTCTGGTTTCTATGAGGGTCACACGCACGCTCCAGCGGGGATTCCTGAACGCAGCATGGAGAAGCTGTTTGTGAGACAAGACCTGAAAGTTATTTCGTCTCCTGGTTCTTTTAAGAGGCCTCAGCTCATACATCAAAGTGGAGCTGCCAGACACAGGGTTGGGTTCCTAGGGGAAAAAAGTCTTAAAGTTGTGGTCTTCTGCTTCATTATTTAGTAGAATGAGGCCAGTCACTGCTACCATATTGTTATTATCTTTATGTGCATCATACATTATTTGATGCTTTTTTTTTTTTTTTTGGAGACAGGATCTTGCTATGTAGTTCAGGCTGGCCTTGAGCCCACTTTGTAGCCCAGGGTGGCCTCAAACTTGCAGTGATCCTCCTGCCTCAGCCTCTCAAGCGCTGGGATTATAGGCCTGCACCACCATGCCCAGTGATATTCATCATACTTTATTATATTGATTTCTTTTGAGATTCTTTTGCACACAGTAATTATTAGAGTATGAAAAACAACTGTACTGGTGTTTGGGTAATAAAAATCTTAAAAATGTTGTACTGGTATGTGAATGTGCATGTCTTATTACTTAAGTTGACTGTCAGTGTGTTCTAGAACTCCTAGTTTCTGTACACTGAAGAATGACGGTCACCTCTGCATTGGAATGCAAATACCCCATGTTGCCAGTTAAGGGTGGGATCTGTGAGCTTTGACAGATCAATTGAGTAGAGAGAATGAGGTTAAAAAAATAAAGGAGTCTAATTAAAGGGGCACGAATAGGTTTGTGAGATAGACAACTCAGTTCAGCATACAGGTGGGTTAAGAAATTTACCTATGATTCAGTGATTCAGACCTACTGTCTTTCTTAGCAGATAGATCTGCATCTGGTTGAATGCACAAATTAATGAATTGATTGAAGCCCCAAACTTCTTTTTTTTCGTCTTGGTGAGGGGCGGGTGGGAAAAGGGCCTTCACACTGAGCTATATCCACAGCCCTCTTTTATTTTTTTGAGATGAGATCTTGCTCAATTGCCTAGGCTGGGGGCTGGGGATTTGGCTCAGTGGCACAGCTCCTGCCTGGCAAGCGCAAGGTCATGAGTTCAATTCCCAGTACCGGAAAAAACAAAACAAACAAAACAAGAATTGCCTAGGCTGGATTCAAATTGTGCTACTGTTGCCTCAGCCTCTCAGGAGTGCTGGGAGTGCAGGTGTGTGCACTACACCCTGCTCCAGGGCTGTGTATTATTAAACATACACAATAAATACTCGTTTTTGTTTTAATTTCTGTTTGTATTTCTTTTTACTTTATTTTAAAGAGAAAAAATAGAATTTCAAAGCAGGCAGTTGGAGAGAAGTAACAATAATTAATACATTGCATATTATTTTAATCTTTGTAGTAGTTATTCAGAGTACAACATATATGCATGAAATATTGCCCAAATAATATTAGCACCTTTCTTTTCATTGAACTAAGAGAAACTAGCTATATAACTAGCTTAACTATCTTGTATATATATTTTTTTCTTTTTTCTTCCCTTCCTTTCTCCTTTCCCCCATCACAGCGTCTCTTTTCTTTTGAACAGTTTCTTCCCAACTCACAGTATCTATTGTACATTTTGGTGTTTCTCACTCTAGTGAGACAATATGATGTTTAGACATGTAGGCCTGGTTAATTTCACTTATGAGTATGATCTCAAGTTGTACCCACTTATAAAAGTTTCAAGTTCCTCCTTCTTTATGGTGAGCAGTACTCCACTATATGCAGAAACACATCTTCTTTATCCATTCCTCAGTTAATGGGCATTGGGCTGTTTCCAAGATTGAACGGTTATAAATTGTGCTACATGGGTGCATATATCTGTGGTGCGACTGTTCGTATTTTGAGACAGAGTCTCGCTGTGTAGTTCAAATGGGCCTTGAACTCAATATGTATCCCAGGTGTACTTCGAACTTGCTGGGATCCTCCTGCGTCAGCTGTCCGGCTGCTGGGACTCACAGGCGTGTGCTGCCACACCAAGCACAATTCCTGATAAAAGCACAAAGTATCTTTTTATTAGGCCATAAAAATATTTCAGTGATTTAGATTTAGAATAGATTTAGAATCTATTAATAATGACCATGTTGTTCCTGGGGTCATCATTAAGAATGTTCAATTTAGTTTAATAAGTCATTGCTTTCCACAGAGGAGAGTACAGATCTATGATTCTTGAAGCACTCTCCTTAAAGTGATAGAAAATGAACAGTGGTCAGTTATACACTCTGACTCCTACTGAGTATTGCCCTCAGAAACCTAGGGTTATAGGAGATAAATTGGTAGAGTGTTTAGATAGCTTATCTACTTAATAATGTCCCCTTCCTCCCTCCCCACTCCATGTGCGTCCCTCCCAAAGCTGCAGGCGTGACTGAGGAAGACAACCACCCCTAACAGAGGAGGTGTAAGAGTAGCTGTGCTCCCCTGCTAGAACCTCCAAACAAGCTGTCAAGGAGTGAAAATTTTTTGTAGCTCGCAGTTTATGAAGGTTTCAGTCCATAGTTGGCTGGCTCCAAGGTAGGTTGGCATGGCAGAGGGGCATTATAGAGTAGGCAGGAGGCAGCAGCAGACAAGCAGCAGTAGCAGTGACAAGTGATGGCAGCAGCCCTCTTTCTGTTCCCTATATTCTGTCCAGACTACCTGCCCTTAGGGTGGGTAGCACTGACACTTGAGGTAGGAGACCCCTTGATTGTAGCATCACACTTTGAACCAATCCCAGCATTACATCCTTAATCCCGGCATCACACGCTCTAGATCTAGCCGCCTCCAAAAAGTTCTCCCTATAACCACATGAGGCTTTGGTGGGGTGCACATCTGGACAGAAGCCATAACATTCCACCCCGGGGGCCCCAAAGACTCATGCACATCCCTTTATGTAAAAGACATTTTAGTCCGTCTCTAAGACATGCCAAATGCTAATATTTTCAGCATTGCTGAAAAGTTCAAGTCCAAATTCTCCTTTGATATTTAAAGCACACTCTTATCTGTAAGCCTTTGTACAAGTGAGAAGAGAGTTAAACACTTCCAACATACAATGGCACAAGATAAACAGTCCCATTCCAAATAGGGGGATAGAAATAATGGGACCAAAGCAAGTTCAGACTCCAGCAGGGGCAGACACTAAGTCCTTGTAGTTCCATGCCTAGCATGCCAGGCAGCCTGTGGCCAGACACAAACTCCAAAGGGGTAGGGTGGCTCTGCCCAGAGCTCTGCCAATGGTTGTGGCTCCTGGGGCTTCTCTGTTGGGCCAGCTTTGCTGCTTCCTTGTAGCTTTCCTCAGACAGTCTGTGTTCCTGACAGGGCCTCCACTGTACATTCATACTCAAAACAGCTTCACACACTACCCTCGCAGGGGCACACTGCCTGGCCTGCCAGGCCTTCTTCTGAAATCTGGGTGGAAGTCTTTCTGACCCCATAACTCTTACATTCTGCATGTACCTAAAACTGGCATCTATGGATGACACCAAGGTCTGCTTCCTGGCTACTCACCAGTAGCCAGGCTTCCCTCTTTCTTGGCTATACAGTTAAGTGCTTGGATCACTCTGAACCCAGTCCCATGGGGTAGATTCTCTGAGCTGCACATTCTGGAACATAATGCTCTGGGGTTCTCTTCTCAAACTAAATTCTTCTCCTTTGCAACCTGAGATTGTAGAAGCTGGAGTCCTGCTGCTGCTTGTGGTGTTCTCAGGCCATCTTTTCCATTGTCCTGTTTTTTCTCAGCAGCAAAGTTCTTTGCTGTATCTTTGCAGTCCACAGCTTTATTGGAGCTTCCTTTCTGGCCAGCCTCACATTTTAAATCATTCTGCTGGGCTCTTTCCTCTTGATTCTCAACATGTCTCTGGCTGAAAGCCCCCAGCAGTAGCCATGCTACTGCCTCAACTTTAGACTGCCTTTAAATTTCTTGTGCCAGATCAGTCCACCAGCCTCACTCTCAAGTCTTAGGCAAAGTCTCTGGACACGAGCAAAATGCAGACAAACTTTCTGCCAAGCTATGACACACACTGTCTGGAGTCCACCAGCCAATGCAGTCCTTGCTCCTAGCAGAAACCTCCTGAGCCTGGTGTTTGGCAGCATTTTTGTCTGCCTTCTGGTCTTCTGAACTCTGGCCAGCATCTCCCATCAAGTACAGCTTAAGGGATTTCAGGACTGTGTCTTCAGTTGGCATCTCCAGATCCATCCAGACTCTTCCCACAAGCCATTTCCAAAGGCTCCTGAACCACATGGTCGGGTATAGTCACACCAGCGACCCCACTCTTGGTATTAAACTCTGTCTTGGTTACTTCTCTTACTGCTGACACAAAATACCTGACACCCAAAGTTAAAGGAGGAAAAGTTTATTGTAGCTCACAGTTTGTAGCTGGCTATAAAGCCCAGCAGGCAGAAGGCAGCTGCAGCAGCAAGCAACAGGAGGTGGCAACGTCACACCATGAATCAGTCCTGTCTTCACTTCCTTAATCCCAGCATCACACACTCTGGATCCAGCCACCTGCGGAAATCTCCACCTATGACTACGTGAGGGTTTGGAGGGACACCTAGGTACAAGCCATAACAATGGTGTGGCTTGACTTACACTTACCCCTACCTAGGTATGGAGTTTATTTATAGACTGTCAATTGCTTTTGGCAGCATGGATTTAGAAGTGCTTATGAATCCTGCTGTCAGAATAGGTGACTGAACACCATCTTTAGAATTTAATGTTTGCCCCAAACTGCAGTATTCAAAGCAGTCCTAAATTCATACAGTGTATTCATTTCAGTCCTAAGTCTCTTTTTACATCTGAACCAAATAGAGATTGGGATATGAATAATAGTTTTATGGAGATTGCCTAATCGTTTTGATAGCACATTCTACAAAAGTCTGCACTGATGAAAACTTTCCACATGTTGAACAGCCTTAATAAATACATGTTTATGCAGCGCCTACCAAAGATAGTATATCACTGTAGATACATGTTTAATAGTTACTTAGATAGCACTGTTTTCAAAGTGAATTTTGTAACTTTCTTTACTAAATACGTTGTTATCTGGTATCACTGTTAAGTCTGTCATAGGTTGACATACTAGGTGAAACCCAGTACCATCGTTTTAAAGACTTACCTGTGATTATATAGTATTGATTTCAGAGTCCCTAGAATGCTATTAGAGAGTTGACTTTTTCAGAATTTTTGTATTTGTAAATTTGTTCTTTGTCCACCCCCACGTCCCTTACTTCTTCCTTCGTCACTCCTTTCTTCCTTCTGCCCTTCCTTCCTTGCCCAGGCTAGCCTCAAACTTGGGATCTTCTTGCCTCATCCTCCTGAGTAGCTGGGATTACAAGCATGTTCCACCACCCCCAGCTGAAATAGATCTTTATTCTAGATGCCACAGTAATTTTTTTCTTTTTCTTTTTTTTTCTTTCTTTTTTTTTCTTTTTTTTTTTTTTTTTTGAGACAGGGTTTCACTATGCAGTTCAGGCTGGCCTTGAACTCACTTTGTGGCCCAGGCTGACCTCGAACTCCCAGCAGTCCTTCTGCCTCAGCCTCCTGAGTGCTGGGGTTACAGATGTGCATCACCACACCCAGGTGCCACAATAATTTAAGAAACAAGTACTTCCACATGAAATTTAGAGGATATAAACAGACTATTTGTTTGTTTTCTTCTTAAACATATTCTTTTTTATTTATGTAAAGGATTCTAATAAATTAGATTTTTCATTTTAATTTTGATGCTGGAAATTGTATGCAGGACTATGTATGCTGAACATATGCTTCTTCATTGAGTTAGACCCTCAGCATAATAGGGCTTTCTTCCCTGAGGTGCTAGGGCCTTGAACATAGTAGACAAATGTTCTACTACTGACCTGTACCCCTGGTTCTTGATTGAATTTCAAAAGGTACTCTGTTTCACTCTTTTTTTTTTTTTAATACCAGGAATTGAACTCAGGACCTTGTGCTTACCAGGCCCGTATGTCACTGAACTGTATCCCCAGCCCTGTTTCACTCTTTAGATGACACTTTAATTATAGGATCATGAAATGCACCTTGAGTTTCCCTAGCATAGCAGTCAGACTTTATTGGGTTTTTGTTCTTTTTTAGTCATTATAGGTAGGAATTTTATTAGCAGAATGTCAATCCTGACATGGAATAGCTTGGAGAATCTTTTGGCCAGGAAAGGCCTGGTAGCTTATGCCCATAATCCCAGCACTCTGGGATGCCGAGGCAGGTGGACTTCAAGTGCAAGCCTAGCCTAGGAAACTTAGTCACTTAGTGAGACCTTGTCTCAAAGTAAAAAACAAAAAGGGCTAGGGATGTAGCTCAGAACAAAGGCCTTGGGTTCAGTCTGTACGATTGAAAAAAAATATTTTGGCCAATATTTTTTAGATTTCTTGAGAGTTTTCATAATCTCAGATAATTGCCATTAGTCTTGGTACTCACTGAAGTTTCTCTCTGAAAAATAACTAGTCCTCAAATCCTTCAGATATGTTTAGGGAAATAAATTTTATAAAATAGGTCCTGACTAAAAAGTTGTGTTACATAAATACAATGTGCCAAGAAGGTATTACAGAATGATTTTGTGGGATTTTTAAGTGACCTTGCATATGTTTCTATACTTGATGAAAACATTTTTTTGGTACCAGGAATCAAACTCAGGACCTTGTGCTTGCCAGGCAGGCGCTGTGCTGCTGAGCTGTACCCCTAGCCTGAAAACTTACTTTCTAAAGGAAAATTCTGTTGACTGATTTGGAGATTTGGTCATAAATAGCATGAAAGTGTAGGTCAGGAGTTATACTGTTGTCTCATTACAATTTTAAGTTGGTACCCATAAAGAATTCTCTTAGGATTAATGCATCTTGGGTATGTGCTAACATCATATTTATTTATTATTTTAAATAGAACTAATATACTAATAATACATTGTTTCAGGTTTTTGTGAACTATTTCCTTGAGAGAATGAAAGTTGATCTGTTTTTGACTATGTAATTGAACACAAATTGGACTTTTTATATGCAAGGGTTGGGGGAGGCAAGTCAGACAAGTTCTTCTTGCTACTTGAAATTATTTCTACTTTAGACTAACTTGTAGATTTTACTTATGCATGCTTGACTGTTTAATTATCTTTTTTCTCCTTTTCTTAAAGATGATACTTGTTGATGCCACTGTTATCATCCTCCTAGCAGAAGATAGTCCTACTGAGAAAATGAGCACTTTGATCATTCAGTCTTTGAACTTTAACCTTTGACTGGAAGTGACCTATAGGCAATGAAGACTACTTCCTTTTACTGCATTTTTACTTGTGTGCATTCTGGGCGCATGTTGATCGCTGGTTCAGTCCACGCAACTGACATGCTTTTATTAGTCATACAGTATCAATGCAGGTGTCAGGAAATGTCAAATATAATTCCATTTTTTAATTTTTTAAGCTTTTGGAGAAGTTCCAGGTCCTCATGTATTGTGCAATAACAATGATTCCTTGGTGGTTTCGGTTCGTCCATTGCCGGCAGTGGGCGTTGCAACAGGAAAAGTTTTCATTCACTCCTGCCACTCAATGGCTAATGCATGATGGGGCCTATGAGATGGATTAACTGGTTATAGTGGATTAAATTAAAGTGAGGGATCCAGCATTACTTTGAAAGTCACCCCAATTGTTTATATTTGGATTCTATGCACTGTGATCCTAAGGTTAACAGCATGAATTTACATGCGTCTTTAAATGACTGTAATGAAAGATCATTGCTATTTATTTGTTTATATCTGCTGTCAAATTGTTTTGACATGGAAGGTTTTCAAGTGACATTGGCAGAGAGGTACAGTGTGTGACCCCTGTGGTGAAAATAAACTCACTTGTTGTATATAGTTCCTCAGTCTCTGAAGTAAAGGTGTGAGTAATGCAGGTATGAATGGTTTAATCAAGGCTTTACTTCGGCACCAGGAAAAATGGCGGTGATGCTTACGTTGCTGCAGTCCGTCATTTGGGCTTGTTATTTGTACATTAAAGACTTTTTCCAAGTAGATTACACTCTGCTACTTCCTGCTAGCCATCAGCATGAGCCCTACTGCCTAAACACTATTTCATTTATTTATGTTTGAAAAATCCATAAACATTTTTGTTTGCAATCTTGTTTTTTTTTTGTTATGTTTTAAGTCAAGTTTGAATGTTATAGTACTTTAATTGAAAAGCTTTTGTCAAGTTTTTTTTCTTGTAAATTTTCTTTACTTGTGAGTATCATCTTGTCCTTCAATCCTGTACCCTAAAATAAGAAATACATTTTTGACAGAGGCTTAATGTTTTAACAAAAGAGTGTGGACCTTTTTATTTTAAAATTTAGGCAAAATACACTATAAGATGGTATGTTTGCTTATTTGTCTCACACAGCCATAGTTTTTCCTGGAGGGATTTGTTTTGTTTTTGTTTTCTTGTTGAAAAGACTTTGCTTACATCTAGATAAAATTTTTCTATATTAAAAAATGTTCAAAGACCCCATTCTCAGTACCATGTAAGTTAGTGATACTACAACTAGGTTCTCTTTTTAAAAAGCGATTACTGTATTTTATAAATTACCTTTTCACATATGCAAAATCTGTTTCTACTAATGTTATTTTTACTAATGCCTTACTGTTGCACTCTTTTTGGAATATCCTGAGGTGAATAGATTAATTGATTGGGCTTAAAAATAAAAGCCAATTAGTTGAAATGTCTGAAATATGTACCCCAGTAAAACCATCCAGTCAACAATTGGTAAAGAATATTTTAAAATTGTTTTTAATCTCTGTGTAGATGGCATTTTGTAGCTTTTTACATGTTGTCAAGGGCATACAGTTTTACACTCTAAAAGTATAATTGCTGAACTCAGGGGTGGGTAGACTTCAAAAATATGTCTGCTGTAGAAATAACTTGAAAAATAAAATTAAAACCACGGCCAGCCACCAAATTGTGGACACTCTTCATACTGCTAGTTAGCAACTAATGCGTTTTAAAACTTACAGACGTTTTTGTTCTGTGTCAGCTAGTTAGTTTCCACAGTGATCTCTGTCAGTTTTCTTAGTTAGCTTGTTTAACCTTGATAGAAAATCTTGGAAATATTCTTAATTTTTAACTGCCTTTAATATGAAAATTGCAGCAGTAAATTGTATTTTCATATTTTACATAACTGCTCAAAACTACTGATTAACTTGATCTATTTCTGGGGTGGGGGTAGGAGCAAATCTCTCTCCATGTTGCTGGTCCTCTTAGTAAAATCCTTTTATAAAGAAATGACCCGTGACATTTATTCACCAAAGGAATTGATATACCAGGTCAGAGATTTAACAGTGCTGTACTATGGATTAACAGATCATAGAAAGCCTCAGTTGGGTTTTTTGTAATAGTGTTTTTTAACATACCTCTCTAAATACAGATGTCATAAAATAAAAGTGTAGGAAAATAGAGGTAAAACCAAATAATTTTGGTACATTTTATGGTTTAAAGAGAAGAGCACCAACCATTCAAAATTCATTATCAGGTTAACATTACGCTTGTGAATTTAGGAGATGCTGAAAACTCTTTTGCACTTAACCTTATTTATATGTAAAGTACATTATTAAAAATCATAAAGCATTTCATTGCTCTGCGGAGCGCAAGCAATGGCTTCATAATAATAAAAAAATATTTCTCATGTGTGATTGAAAGATAACCAGAATACCAAGAAATGTACATAGGAATATGCTACTTCCTCTCCCTGCCTTCCCTGTATGGGCGCAAGGCCTACAGAATTATGCTTTCTTACCTAGAGGATAGGTGTTCTCCGTTTCTCTGTCTCTCTCTCCCTTCCTCTTCCTTTCCCTTTCCTTTTCCTTTTCTTTTCTTTCCTTTGTTTCCTTATTTATTTATTTATTTTAGGCCATTCTTCTGATTTGCCAAATTCTGTTAAGACAGCGATACATCTAGTTCCTTATTTATTCACGTTTAGATCATGAGCTTGGTGCCCTTTCAGAAAATTTTCGTCAAATAGGGGTTAATGTTGTACGTTCTGAAGAGAAAGGTTGAGTTTTTTAATGGAAAGTTTTAAAAATAAGTTTGTGAGTGTTCTCTTATGGAATTAATACTCCCTTCGAAAGAACTCACCGTGGGTGATTCCTCCTTTTAGCAAGCAGGGAAATAAAGCATTTTTAATCCCCAGAAAAAAGTGTGGAAAATAGCTTTTTTGGGGGCAGTACCGGGAATTGAACTCAGGACCTCGCGCTTGCCAGGCAGGTGCTGTGCTTGCTGAGCTATATCCCTGGCCCTTGAAATAGCTTTTATACAGTCAGTAGTTCAACTGGAGAAGTCTTAATTCTTGTTGTTTTGACTGGGTACATATTTGTCATAAAGTAACTAAAGTAGTTTACTACTTTTTCCTTTCAGAATTTTAAGTATATACAAATGTATATATGTCTCACTAGACACCTGTGATGAACAATTTGGTCAGGTTCTAGTGTAGGTCTCTAGTGACTAGTGCTTACCTGTTCCCAGATTGCATCAAAGTTAAATTGACAAAGCGGGAAATGAGTAGAAATTCGAAACTGGTATATAACTTGATGGTGTTTCTGGTAATCAAGTCTTATTTTTAAAAAGCCTATTGTTTTTGAAAATTGAGATATTTAAAACTTGTGGAGACTTCTTCCTAAAAATAGAAGAGAAGAGGCGGTACTGTGTATTCAAAACTTTTTTAAATAAAGAGTTCAATGTGACTAGTTCTAAGCCTTTATGGTTACTGCTGCTCATATTTCTTCGTCATTTTTATTAAAATATTTTGTACACCTGTTAGCTGAATGCATCCAATTTATGATTATGTATGTAAATTGTTTTTCAAAAAAATTTGAGGCTTAGCCGTATTTTACTTTGCTGAAGATTCGTGATCAAAATCGGCTGTACCACTAGTCTGTGTTACACTGACGCCTTGACTGCCTTTGCAGGCTGAGATCCGAGAAGGTGTCTAACCTGCGCGCCAGCTGCCCCCTCCTCCAGCCGGGGGTTGAACGGCCTGTGCACTGAGCTACATCCAGGCCCTTGTAACGTTGTGTGTTGAGGCAGGGTCTCACCAGCTCACTGAACTGCCCAGACGAGGTGGAAACCTTTGATCCCCCTGCCTGCCCTTCCCCAGAGTGCTGTGATTACAGGTGTGGCCGCCCTGCCTGCTTTGGAGTCCTTTAAAATCTTCTTAAGATGGGGCCTCTGTTGACCAGGCAGGCCTCTTTAACTTGTGCTGTGTGTGCCTCACTCTGAGGGTGGGATTACAGACACGGGCTACTTCACCCAGCTAATCTATTCTTAATCCCTTTTTTTCTTCCTTGCTTAGTGTCTCTTCTCACAGATGTTCAGTGTATCAGTCTGGCGGTTTCCTTTTTTTATGATTGGAGAATGCAGCGTAGTGTAGTAAAATTAGTAAAATTACCCCAGATTTTTTTTTTTTTTTTGCTTTTTGAGACAGGGTCTGTCTAGTTCAGGCTGGCTGTAAGCTCACTGTGTAGCACAGGCTGTCCTCAAACTCAGGATGATGAGGGTTACAGGTGCCTCCGCCTCCTGAGTGCTGGGATCACAGGCCTGCGGCACTGCGCCCAGCTATACCAGATATTTTTTAAAACCTAAAAGAGTTTCCATACAAATAAAATACATGAGGTTTTTGTTATCTAATGTACATGTTTAAATTGATTGCATAAATGATTTAAATAAGCTGTTAGCCATAATTTAGTTCTTCATTACTAATAGGGTATTTTATTTGTTTACTTTTTGGTGGGGATGGTTTCAAAACCTATTCATTGCTCACCTTACTGTTTTTCCATTAAAATTTTTAAGCCATTTTGAGATGTGGAATTACTTCCCTAAACCAATGTTTGGAAGATTTTTGTTCCTCAACATAAATTCTGCATTAGTTTAAAAACAAGAAAGGTCATACCCATTATTACCTTCAGAGACATGGAATGTAAATGTGCTTCTCACTTAGTGCTCTGTCCTCAAAGTTGAAGTTCATGGTTCTAAATATGTCCTGGTAAGTGAGGTGTTAATGGTGAATTTAATTCTCAAATTTAGTGTGAAGACTTGTATTTGGTGATGAGTCTCCAGAATGAGTTGATTACATGATTTTCTTTCTTAAGGAAAAAAATATTGTTCATAAAATAATATCTGAGACTTTGGAATATGTGGAAAGAATGACTGAATAGAAGCTGCTCTAAACATACCTCAAGAACTGCAGTTGTACATGCTGAGTGAAGAGTTAACTGGGAAAGGAGATCCACTTCTATTTCTTGCCACATACACGGTCTTCGGGGGAAAAGTTACTCATATAGTAGTCTCAAAGCTGTTTTTTGAAAGACAAAAGCATAATTTAAAACTTACAAGACTTGGACTTATTATGTGACATAAGTTGTCAGATTTCCTGGTATGTGGAAAGGTTGAATAATTTTGCCTGTTTTTTAAAGCCTGAAACAGAACATTTAAAGAATTTTATAGATTTTATCAGATACTATGAAAATGCAAGTCTCTCTATAGATAACCATAGACTGTTTATATAAACATAAATTGATTGCCAGGCACCAGTAAAATAATTATTTGAATGGGTTATTGGGTTAATTATCTAGTAGCCAAGAATTAAGTGCATGTTAAGGTCAAAATGAATTTGTTCATTTTAGTTGGTACCATTTTAATTTCAATATTCATAAATACAGATTGTACATTTTATTAATATGAATGGAACACATGCTTGAGGATTTCAGTAGGGTGGAAGTGTATTTTATAAATTCAAATTGCAAAAATATGTAAAGTTACTACTTTTTAAATAGAGTATAAATGTTAGACAAATCTATGTTATATATTTTTCAATACATGTATGAAACTTTTGTTAGTTGAATATAGGTTACTTTGTGTGCTTTATGGAATCCAGTTAACTTTTAATAATAAAGCAGTTGTCATTTGATGCTTTTTCTGTATACTTGAATACTAAATTAGGTAGAAACTAGACTTTGTAGTTTATAATAGTGTAAAGCTGGGTTTGGATAGCAGCTCCTCTTTACAGAAAATTATGATCTTTCAAGGATGATGGAAACAACCATGTCCATTCTCAAAATAAGTGCAATAGAGTGTCAGGGTCCCTAAAGCTGTTACTTAACAAGTCATCTTTGCTTAAATAGCATAGCTAGTTTGTGGTCCTTTAGGCTTTAATGTAGTCCTGAAAGGCTGGGTGTTTTCAGAGATTGAGACTGAGACGCAGGCACTTGCTTAGAGTCTGATGCCACTGAACGTCAAGTTGTGTGATTAATGGGCACATACCATGAAGTACTTCTGTATGCATTTTTATGCAAACCATGAATGAATTTACTGAAATGAATGACCCTTGGTGCCATAAAAAGAGAGGGAAATAAGCAGGAGGAGGAGATATCCCTGCATGTTATATTCCTGGCAAGAAGAAAAGAAATTAAATATACTCTACTGATACTCTTAAATTTTCTTTTCTGCAGGGGATCTTCCTGCCCCAGGAGTGCCTTAGTCCACTTTCAGGCAGCCGTGCTGTCATAAAAGCTATCAGCATTTTTTCTGCAGCCCTAGACAACTAGATTAGTAGATGGCTAGATAAGTGCTGCAGGAGATTCTTTGTACGTTGTATCGTTACCCTTTATTATAATCCTTACAGTTACTTCTGCCTTCCATAGTGAGTACGACTGTCTTCATTAGTTCAAGCTGTGTGGATACGCGACTATTAACAGTCCTCCGCCTCTTCCTTATTCCTCTTCACACTAAGGTAACGCGTAACAAAGTCAAACATGAGCTGACTGAAAGGTCACATGACACAGCAAAGGGCTCTGTGTATTTGAACGGGTAGTAAGGCCCCAAAGTCACAGGAGATTGTTTCTTCCTCCCTCTCTGTCACCCTCTTCCTCCTCCTCCCTCTCCTCTGCCCTCTCTCTCACGCTACACGTGTGGAACCTGGTACCTTGCATGTACTGAGCAAGTGCTCCATTACTAAGCTATATTCATTCCTCAGCCCTTAAGTAGTTTTAAAAATTTAATGTCTGACTTTCAAAAATATTTGACTGAAAAAAAAATTGTATTCCTGATTAATGCAAAGTGTGTAAGTAGGACTCCCGCGTGCCCTTCACAGTTCAGTGGGATGTGGAAATAATCTAAGGAAAGTTGAAATAAACTAAGGAAAAAACCTACGAAAAACCTTCTTATGGCTGTTCCTCACCTTCACGTGTAGTGTGTGTGACTGTCATCAGGCACGAACCTCACATGGTTGTCTGTATCCTGGATACCTTTCACTCAACATGCAAAAATTCATTTTGACCCCAATAAAGGTGTATTTTTCTTATCCTAGTTTATGGCATTCCTATCCAAACGGGTAATCAGAAGACTGAACTCGTTTTTGTGGTCAAGTCCTGTTGAGTCTGTCTTTAAAGCATCTCTGAGACTTCCCCCTCCTCTCCGGCATCCTGGCCATTATGACTTCATTGCCTGGTCCTGGGGCTCCCAGGTCAGGTAGCTGTGGACCTTTTCCCTTGTGCAGTATTAATACAGGTTTGCGTTGGATTTTGGTAACATTCCTAGAGTGTTTATCACCTGCTTTTCTGCCTGAAAGTTCTTTCACATGTCGTTACAAAGTTCAGGTGTGATTGGAAAACCATCTTTGTCCTTCCCCGCTCACCACCTGGCTGGCCTGTGATAGCAGGGAAGCACTGCAGCTGCACCTCCCATTCGTCTTGCTAACACACAGTGCAAGGAACCTGGCGTTTAGGTTCTCTGCGTGGGGTTCTGCGGGCTGAGCCAGGGGCCTTCACATTGAGCTGTCTCCAGTCCCCACCCCACCCCCGCCCCTTTTGAGGCAGGGTCTTCGTTGCTGAGTTGCCCAGGCTGTTCAGACTTAGGACCCTTCCATCTCCACCTCAAGAAGAACGTTTTTCAGAAGTCATTAATCATTAGTCATTGATTTTTGCCCTTTTTGTACATGTGTTTTATATCTGTACCTTGTTTTGACTCTATTCACAGATTAAATGTGTTTTAAAAGAAGTATAGTAGTGGCTCATGCCTGTAATTCCAGCACTCTGGGAAGCTAAAACAGAATCACAGGTCATATCTGCACAAATTAGAGAATCATATTAGGAATATGATTCAGTGCAAATCCCTGGGTTCAGTCTCCAGTACTACTAAACAAAAAATTAAATTTTAAAATGTGTCATAGCGGGCATGGTGGTGCACGCCTGTAATCCCAGCAACTCGGGAGTCTGAGGCAGGAGGATCATTGCGAGTTCGAGACCATCCTGGGCTACAAAATGAGCTCAGGGCCAGCCTGAGCTGCATAGCAAGACCCTGTCTCAAAAAGAGAAAAAAAAAAATAAAATGTGCCATAAAATCAATACAATCTTTTAAACTAAATACATCTGAGGAGCCGTGAGATATAAACCTGACACTCGAAAAGGTGAAAAACAATAAACAAATTTGTTAAGTACTTCCTGTGTGCCAGGAAGGGTAGAAGATAAGGACAAAGCTTATCCCTTTAAAAGTGTAATAACAGTACGAAAGGTGGTGATGCATGAGGTGCAGGTACAAGGCAGTTACTGATGAACACAAACGAGTTCGCAAAGGACTGGCGCAGCTTGAACACGTAAACTTCGTAGGTGAGTTCTAGGCAAGAACACAGGTTGCGAGTGCAGAATGTCAGTGCAGGAACTAGAGGACAAGCACAGGGCCGGTCAGTGGCTTAGTGGGGCGCTGTCACAGAAGACAAACAGGGAAGGGAAGTGTCCAGGGAAGTTCCCTCTGTGGGAAGGCCCCAGGTTCAATTCCAGGTAGGAAAACACCTTAAACACATCATCTCTCGTTTTCTTTTGTGGAGATTTGTTTTGCTTTTGTTTTTAAGAGCGGGGTCTCCTTGTGTAGTTTAGGCTGGCCTCAAACTCACAGGGATCCTGCCTCAGCCCTCCAAGTGCTGGGCTTACAGGAGTGTGCCATCATTCTTGGCTGTCTCCTTTTTTGTAGTTCTGCCTTCAGGATACACAAAGTGCTAGCCCCTTTTCCAGATATTTTCAGGTGTTCTGTTTTGCAGTACTAGGAACTGAACCTAGGGGCTCTGTACTGAGCTACATCCCTAGCTGTTTTTTGTTTTGAGTCAGTCTCACTGAATTCTCCAGGCTGGATTTGATTTTACAGTCCTTGTGACTCACCTCCCTGAGTGCTGGGATTACAGCCATGCCCCCATTGCCCAGCTGTTTTGTTTTGGTTTTTGAGACAAGTGTCTCGATACTTTGCCCAGGCTAGTTTTGAACTCCTGGGCTCAAATAATCCTCCATCCTCCGAAGGCGCTGAGATCCCTCACTAGTTTTAACACATTTTCAGATATTTTCATTATTTTATAGGCTCAAGATTTTCAAAGATGCTTTGAAGTGTGGCAAGGCAGTTTGATCTTCCGGTGTCAAATCTAATACATGAGAGAGGAGCCTACCCTCTGGTTCGAGTCAGAGGTTTTCAGGCTGTTGCTCAGGGATCCAGGGGGTCCTTGCATGATCCTAGGAGCACATCTATATTTCATACTGGTGTTCTGCACAAATTTGCACCAGGAGGTAGAGTTTACTGTTTTAAGTGAACTTGTAGAACACTACTTTTTAATAACATCTAAGACTGAATCCACCTTTTTTGAATGCTGTGTCTCACATGATTTTGCTTGGTGAATCCACCTTTTAGTCTGTATCGATGTAGTTTTGTGTGTTGTTCCCAAGTAAAGTATGTTACTTATTTTAATTTCATCTTTATGAATAGAATTTTATGTTCTATAAAATTTCATCTCGGGCTGGGGATTTAGCTCAGCGGCAAAGCGCCTGCCTGGCAAGCACAAGGTCGTGAGTTCGGTTCCCAGTACCGGAGAAAAACCAAAAAAAAAAACCATTTCATCTGATAGAGCCCGTCTCATTTTTCCTGCCATTCTGTTGAGCCTGTTTTGTTCTCGCGCTCCAGCGCGCAGCATATAGCTCCCCGTCCTGTCGGTGTCACGGCCTCTCTTCAGCGTGACATCGTTTTAAGGACTTAATGCTCCAGCACATAGTGTCTGCAGCTCAGCAGGTAAACATTGTTACTACTATCAAAGCAAAAAGTTGCTATCAAAAATCAAACACGTAAGCCATCTTGCTATATCACATGATGTAGGGAAGGAGATGCTCATTGTTTGGGCGCACCGGTTTGCAGGTCTCAAACGGTCATTCCGTTGGTTTCTGTTTGAATTCCACATACTGGCTATGCATTTTTTTATCTGTTGAAAACTGCCCGTTCCAGGCTAAGAAGAAAAGGAAAAGGTGAGTTTGGCCACTGTGGAGGTGCACACTGCGTGCAGCACGCCCCGACCGCCGACCGCCGCTCCTGGGGCTGTGCGTCGGTGTTAGAGCCACGGCCACAAGTCCCCCGAGCATCCGCAGCTCTCCGCCCGAGTCCCGCCCCCCCAGCCCCGCCCCCTTGCACAGGTTTCAAATATGCATCGTGGTTTGATTTTCCCACCACGAACCTCTCGAAGAAATGCTCGGCCAGCCGTCCTCTTAGACTCCTAGCTCCAGCCTCTGGGAGGGCGCAGATCAACACAGCTGGCACCGGTGGGGCAACAAGCGGGTAAGGCAGGCGCTGAGGCTCACTGTCTCCGCGCTCCAGGCGATCCGTAGCTGAATTAAAACTTCCCAGCAGGGGTTTGGAAGAAGTCTCCGTTGGAGGTGACTACCTTCAACGGTGCAGTGTGTCAAGCCTTTGAGAAATCTGGGGAAAATGGATACAAAATAATGGAATTGACTTTGACTAATTGTATTGATAACCCTGCTTCAGTTCGCACAGTTTTGCTACAACAAAATACCATAGGCCAATGCCGGGTGGTTTAAACAAATGTGTTTCTACCAGCTCTGGAAGCTGGAAGTCCAAAATGAAGGTGCTTGCAATGCAGATTTCATTCTGAGACCTTTTGTGGCTTGTAGCTCGCCGCCGTTTTGCTGTGTGATCGCAGCGGAGGAGGGAGAGGAGCCTCACGCCGGGTCTTGGACTTCAGCACAAATCTGGGGACACAGCGCATCCACACTGACCCCGTTACAGGGCTAATGAAAAGTTGCGGGCAGTGAACAAACTGGAAAACACAATCAATTCCAGTCTGCCAAGAAAGTTTTGTGTCTCCTGCAGTGGGAGATCAGGAAAAGCTGATGACAAAACTATAGCTTTGTTTTGTTTTTAGATACTTTTTTTCCTGAAGTCTAGGCTGGCTTGACAAACACTTTGTTTTTTGGTTATTTTGGTTTTGTTTTTTTTGGGGGGGTTCTCTCTTTTTGAGATAGGGTCTCGCTGTGTTTCCCAGGTTGGTCTCTAACTTAGGATCTTGCTAGAGTAACTCAGCCTCCCAAGTAGCTGGGATTGCAGGCTTGCACTGCCACGCCTGGCTCCAAGCTTGGAATTAAGAAGACTTCAGACGTGTTTGAATTCCCAGCTGGGGCAGGTCCATTAATTCCAGGTCAGGGCCAAAGCTGGAAAAACTTGAGACCCCGGTAAATGAGGTGGAGTCATTGGAGTGACTGAATAAGGCTTTGGCTCCCTTAACTCTGACATACTAGCGCTTGTGAGGGTTGCACATCCTTCTACGTAGCGTGTTAGAATCCCCTCCCAGTGAGAATATCCGTCCGGCTTATCATCCATCTGCCCCACCTCTTGGAGTTGTGAGGTCTATCCCTAGGTTTGAGTCACAGCATAACCCACCTGTGACATGCTGGCCCTAGTAATGGCAGAACAGTGCTATCCTCCCTAAGTGCCTGCAGGGGTTACTCAGCAGAGCCCTGTGGGGACCCAGGGAGAGTTCCCTGGGAGGAATTTTGTAGGTGCTTGAACAGGGGGTCGGCAACATGATAAGGGGAAGTGTATTGCCTTAGGGACACTCTCTTGGCCTATGGACTTTAACACCCAGCAGAGCACCCCAGGGAATGGTACGAACTTACTGCGGTGGGTCATAAACACCAGGAGGAAAACTGTCCGCAGTAAGCCGAGTTGAGTGCCTGAGTTGCCGTAGCAGGTGGTGGAGAAGGAATGAGAGGCTCACCGAAGGAGGTACGGTGGAGTGAACCCCATGAGTGCCGAAGACCCCAGAGGACTTGTTCTAGGACACTGCACAGAGGACGGCGGGTCAGCAAGGCTGTCAGGTGTTCCTGAAGGGGGCACTGGAGTCCTGAGGGTCCGCGGTGGCTGCCCTCCGCCGTCTCAGCTGGTGGTAAGAGAGGCTTCCTCAAACTGAGGCCACACTCTTAAAAATGGGTGCCCTTGTCCAGAATGCTGTGTATGTGGTTGCGTTGGAGACCTCCCTATAGAGCACTGCCTCTTAATAGGAAGACTCCGTGAGTCCTAGAACAGTGGCCCCTGATCCAGTATATTTTTGCCAGGGGATACAGCAAGAATCCCACTGAACTACCGATATTGCACTTTGTACTTCATGTGTCCAAGGACAAGCTGGTAAAAAAGCCATCTTGGCTTTTTTAATTGCCCATGATTTCCTGCTCAGGAATCTAGGCCACTCAAGTCAGTCTCTTATGGGTTTAGAAGAATAAATTCATTTTACTTGAACATATTTTTTCCTAGCTGTAACAGCAAAGTTCTTTAGTGCTAATTCTTATTTGTGAATGTAGTTTGTTGAAGGAATTTTTGAAGAACAGTGCCTCCTTGAATGTAAGAAGAATTGAACACGAATACATAAAGCTGAACAAGAACAAAAAATAGATACTCTGGAAATATCACAAGTCATGACCATTTACTTTGAGCTTAAAGTAAGTAAAATATTTTTATCCCCTCTTGCTTACATATTTGCTGCTATAAATCAGGAATACAGTGTTTATTAAATGAATGATTAAACCAAGAAAAGTTCTAGCCCTTATGTTCCAGCATTGAATTTCCTGCTTAGGCTCATTTTGGTGCTTTAGAATTAATGTAGTTTGAATTTTTACGTGGCCAAAGTGTTTTCTGTATTCACAGTGCCAAAAAGATAATTTCATGAGCTCATATATGTCTCCCGGAGACAGAAAGTGAAAAGGTACTGTTTTATGTCTCTGGCTCCTTAGGAGCAAAATTATGACTTGGTTCAAATGAATGTTACTGAATGTTTGACCAATTTGCCTCACTCTTTTTCCAGTAAGAGCTGGAATGAGGTCCAAAAATATACTTTGGGGAAATAAAACTTTTCAAGCTGGTTCAGATGGAGAACCAGGTTTGAGGATGATTGTTTTAATTTATTTCCAAGTTTCTTTGCTTACGAGCAACGTTATGGCTCTTCCAGAAGATGGAAGATAAAGTTATTTTCAGCTATAACTCACTATAAACCAGTATTAGGAGTGTAAGTGTTTGTGGAGGAGCGTATAGCAAGGGAACAATAGCAGAATATATAAGGTTTTTTTCTCTTGTAGGAAGAGAGACAATTTAAACAACTGAAAATTTAGGAGAAATATAATCCTACTTGTAAATATGGGATCTTAGTTGATGGAACTGTTTTGAGATCACTAACAAATCTCACTGGTCAGTAGGAAATTCAGGTTAGGTTTTTTTTTAAAATTTGTGTACTGGGGAAGGAACCCACAGCTGCCTGCACGTGAACCAAGTACTCTGCCGTAGCTGCCTCCCAGCCCAGATTATTTTTAATGTCCCTAAACATCCTCCCACCTCTGCACATTTCAAACCAGACCTGGGCCTTGTAGTAGGTCTGGTTTTGGTTTCAAATAAAAGTAATGATGTTTATGAAAGTGAGCGTCTAGGGCTGGTGCGACTTCAGAATAGCCGGAGGCATGGACTCTGAGAGGCTCTGACTCCCACACCCAGCTCTGATGAGCTTTATTCTGCAGGTAGATTCTCCCCAAAGGGCGGGCCAGAGCAGCCTGGACAACTCTACTTTCTCAGTTCAGTAACTCCAAGAAAACAAAGGTCTTCTTACCAGTGTCTGCATATTCACCTGGAGGAGCCTCTGGTCGGTGTCTTGGGGTCCTAGGTCTGCACTCCTCAACCATCGCTGCAGCTGAGCAGGTGGGGTCTCTGGTCAGGCCTGGGTCCCTGTGGCCTGAGATCGACTGCTCCGTCAGGACAGGGTGCAGCGGAGGGGTTTCTCAGTACACAGGACCATGGGGTTGGAGAACTTGAAGGGGCAAAGGGCGTCTGCCTTTGCTGTTGAACTGTTTGACTTGGCCAAATGTCAGATGACAGTCCCGAACGTGTGTGTACCACCCTGAACAGTCCGTGGATGTAAAACCTCTGGGGAGTTGGAGGGATGCGGTAGGGCTGCAGCTAGGGACAGCAGTTACATCGAGCAGTGATTTAAGTTTCATTCAAGCGTGACTTAAAGTTAAAAATAATGTAAACTATAAGGTTCCTTCAATACATTACAATATAAAACTAATTATGAGCTTATAGCATTGGAGAAGAGTGACAGCAGTTATACCAGCTTAATCTCCAGGACCTAACAGTTCAAAGACAAGAGGCTGGATGTGAAGTGATAATTCAGTACTGCAGTAAAACCTACAAAGATGCTACCGAAAGCTCCTTAAGCACATTTTAAAGTTGTACCTGTTCTATGATACATCTTGGATAAGATACATCAAACATAAGTTGCTAATTCAATCTTATAAGTTACTAAATATATACTGAATACTGGAGTGTATATAAGTTGTGATACTGTACCTAGTAGACTAGATATTACTTGATTATTTTATTCTCTGTATTAACCTATGTTTTATAAGCAGTTGAGTAAATGGCAATTTTATGCTCAAATCAGAAACACTTTCTTTTAATATTTTAAATAAAACTTATGCTAAGCAAAGTAATGATGCATAGTTTAAATAATCTCAATTAACATAAGAAGTACTTTGAAGGTTGCTTCCAACAAAAATGTCAGCTTACTGACATGAATTCCTGGTGGTGACCAGAAGACACTTCTAAGCATTTGATTTTTTTTTTTTTAATTACTTGCTAGGTAAGCACTCTACTACTGAGCCAATCCCTAGGCAAATTTTTCCTTGGCATCATTATCTAGAAAATTTTCTTTTTTTTTTTTTGTTTTGTCTTTTTGAAACAGGGTCTCACTCTGCAGTTCAGGCTGTCCTTGAGCTCACTTTGTAGCCCAGGCTGGTCTTGAACTTGCAGTGATCCTCCTGCCTCAGCCTCCCTAGCGCTGGGATTACGGGCACGCGCCACCACGCCTGGCTGAAAATTTTCTTAAATCAAATAATGTACAATTAATTAAAAGCATAGAAATGATTTAGCATATCTACTACATTAGTAGTAATTTTACAAAAGAAAAAAATAACCAGTTGCCTCATATAGAGAAATCATAAAAATCAGGAGGTTTTTTTTTTTTTTTTTGGTATCGGGAATTGAACTCATGACCTTGTGATTGCCAGGCAGGCACTTGCACCATTGAGCTATATCCCCAGCCCAATCAGGAGTTTTTAAAGCAGTTTTTCCCTCTGATTTGTTTCTTTTTTGTGACTAAGTCTTGCTGTGCAATTCAGGCTGGCCTTGAACTCTGTGTGTAGCCCAGGCTGGCCTTGAATTTGCAGTGATCTCCTGCCTCAGCCTCCCAAGTGCTGGGATTACAGGTGTGTGCCATCACACCCGGCTACCTCTGATAATTTTAACATAACTAGCAAAATGCTATATGTACAAGACAGCAAAGTGCAGATAAGCTTAAAAACATTAAAAGGCATCCATAATTTTTCTCAGACATAATCTTATAAGCTTAATACAGAGACTTTCTGGTAGGGTGGACAGGGTCTCCCTATGTAGCCCAGAATGGCCTTGAACTGGTAATCCTGCTTCAGTTTCCTGAGTGCTGGGATTACAGGCATGTGGGTCAATGCCTGGGTTAGATACACATATTTATGTTTGATTATACATACAAGCTTATTATTAAATTGAAATCAAGCATAAAGCAGCTGTGAGTTACAACTGCACATTTATTAGCCGTAGCTGAAATCTGAAGCGGGGACAGAACCAGGTGCAGTGAAGCTGCAGGCAGCAGGAGCTCCCATGCATCACGCATGGGGATGCAGAATGTCGGAGCCCCTTTAGGAGAGAGCCTGGCAGTTGCTTACGGCGATGGTGTTGTCCGGACTAGCACTACTGCCTGGTCCCTGTCACATTCCAAGGCACTGTAGTCCCCTCATGCTAGCCTGGGAAGCCTACCCACTCAGCCTGTGGACGCAGGACATAATACCCCGCCGGGACTGCCTGACCTCCCCTCCCTGCGCGTGCTTCCCTCCCACTCTTCCTTTCTTTTCAGGTTGTTCACTTGCTCAGTACTCAGTTGGTGCTGAGTACCTGCTTGTCCAACAAATGCATGAACTAAGGTGACAGGTTTCCCTTTCTGCCCCTTTTCTCCCAGCGGCTGAGGGGAATGAAGGTAACCAGTCTGGTACACATCTGTGCAGATGTGTGGCTACACTTCTACTGTGTAAACACATACATACAGCCTGGGCCTGTCCTCCTGTGTGTGTGGCTATAGTCCTGCAGAACTTCGGCTTTTGCTGTGTGTGTGTGTTTAACTCAAAATGTCCATGCCACTCTGCCAGCATAGGAACATACACTAAGCAAAGTAATGATGCATAGTTTAAATAATTGGACTTCACAGCAGTCTGTGAAGAGATGCTAGGCATGGTGCTGCATGCCTGAAATTTCAGCACTAGGGAAGCTGAGGCAGGAGGATTGCTGCACATTTGAGGCCAGCCCGGGCTACATAGTTAGTTCAAGACAAGCCTGGACCGCATAGTAAGATCACATCTCACAAAACCAAACCAAAACAAGTATATATAAAATATACTTTATATATGCTTAGAAGTAACAAAACCTTTCTTTCTTAAGTGCTGGGACTCGAACCTAGGGTTGTTCTACCACTGAACTATATCCAGAGGCCATTTTACTTTTTTAATTTGAGATCAAGCTCTTACACAGAAATTGCACAGATCGGCCTTGAACTTGTGATCCTTCTGCCTCAGCCTCCCGAATAGCTGGAATTACAGGCATGTACCACCATGCTTGACTCTTTTAATGTTTTATGGTTTGACTTCTACTAAATTATTTTATGAAGGGACAGAAGCCGAAATTTAATAATCGAGAAACTTACATGCTTGCTTAGTAAGGATGAGTGCTGTCTGCACAGGTGCACACAGAACAGGTAGTTGGAATGTTACCACAGGTAACCGCGGAGCGTGCCTCACCAAGTTGCACAAGTCCATGTAACTTCTTATGCTACATGAGTTTTGACTGGACTGCGTGTGATGGGTGCCAGATTCGCACTACAGTGCGCCCTCCCCTACACGGCCTGCCACTGCCACGTAGGCAGTTTGCACTTGAGCACTGCACCGTCCAGTTATGAAAAATATCAATAAAAATGACATTAGAAGCCAGGCACGGGGGCGCACACATGTAAACCAGGGTGAGGCAAGATGGCTGGTCTGAGTTCGAGGCCACCCTGTACCTCATAGTGAGACCTTATCTCAAAACAAACAATTAAAAAGCACAGTGTTAAAAGTTTATGATCTTACAGGGCTGTGTTGCTGGCTGTCCAGGGCCACATTTGGCCCTTCGGCCATGGACTGTACTCTCCTAGTTTAACCTAATAAAGAAAACTTGCCTTGTAAGCAGTATTGGTTTTAATTTAATTTTTCTGGTAATTCATTTTCACTGTGTTTAATATCAGTTAGCAATCCAGGGTCGGAAAAAAGTCCCTCAGGCAGTTAGTTTGAGACACAGTGTCCTGGAGTGCTTGGTAAGTATTTATTTCTGATCGCGTATTCAGGCAGAATGTTTCTGTGTTCATCTCGGAAGCAAGACTCTTGTAATTTAATAGCGTCCTTTACTCAACTTCATTTTCAAGTTAAATATTTAAACCAGTTTTATAAGTAAGGAAGTTCTCGGCCCTCAAGTTTTTTCCTGATCTTACATTTTCAATGGCCTCGATTTAACCAGCACCGCCGCTGTGTCTGTACTCCCCTTTCCCACGACACAGTGTAGGAAAGAAAATAGCTCTTACACCTATCCGACAGTAAAAAGTTGATTATTTTTAACTCTGTGTGTGTGTGTGTTGCTGGGAGCTAGGCCTAGCTAGGCCCTTGACGTGCTAAGCACACATTCTACTGCTGAGCTACACCCCAGTCCCCCAAAATCAATTTTTTTTAAAGGACTTGCAGATTGACTGTTTTATTCCAGGTCTGGACTCCATCAGGGATTGGATAGGCTTTCATTACAGTGATTTTTTTTTCACTACAGTGATTTTTGAAGGTAAGAGTTATTTTCACCAAAGCAAGGTAGTCCTTTAATTTAAAGTGTCAAAAATACTAAAAGACGTAAGAAAAAGCAATACTTCTGAGCCCAGTCCCATCCTATGCCATTTTAGCTTTGCAGAACATGCCATTTGCACATCTTTTAGCTGTGTCTTCTGATACCTATCTCCATGTATTTTAAAAATTGACCTTTCCTGGGTGTGTTGGTGCATGCCTATAATCCCAGCACTCAGGAGGCTGAGGCAGGAGGATTACTATATAGTGAGTTCAAAACCAGCCTGAACTACATACTGAGCGCCTGTCTTGAAAAAAAAAGAAAAACACAAAAAGACATTTAATTCATATAATGTACAACTCGTCCTTCTAAAGTATACAGTTCAGTGCTTTTTAGTATGCTATGCCATCCTTACCACTAATTCCATAACATTTTCTCTTCTTTTTTTTTTTTTTGAGACAGGGTCTCACTAAGTAGGGCGGGCTGGCTTTGAACTCACTATGTAGACAAGGCTGGCCTTGAAATCGCAGCAATCCTGTTGCCTCACCCTGGTTTACCTGTGTGCGCCCCCGTGCCTGGCTTCTAATGTCATTTTCATTGATATTTTTCATAACTGGACGGTGCAGTGCTCAAGTGCAAACTGCCTATGTGGCAGTGGCAGGCCGCGTAGGGGCGGGCGCACCGGGATGACAGGCAGGCGCCCCCACGCCCGGCCCCGCCTCCGAGAGAGCGTCATACCTGTTAGTAGTGATGCTTTACTTCCCACTGGTTCCGTTGGGTTTTGTCATTCAGTTGTGAGTTATATGAGTTCTTTTTACATTCTGGTCACTAGACCCCTGTTAGACATATTGATTTCAAAATATTTTCTCCCATTTTGTGGTGTTTTTGTTATTTTTTTTTTTTAGTTTCTTGATCGTGTCCTTTGATACATGAAAGGTTTAAATTTTGACAAAATTTGATTTAGTTCTTTCTTTTGTTGCTTCCACTTTGTTCTATTTGAGAAATGCTTGCCTAATTCAAAGTTACAAAGATTTACACTTCTGTCTCCCTCTAAGAGGTCTGTAGATTTCGTTCTTACTTTTAGGCCTTTGATAATTTTGAATTTATTTTTGTATATAAGATGAGGTACGGGGCCCAAATTCATTTTTTTGCACTTGATCTCCATACCATTTGATGAGGAGACTTTTTTTCCCCATGAGCATCCTCGACAAAATCAGTCGACCACAGATTTATGAGTTTATTTCTGTAGTCTCAGTTCCATCAGTCTGTCTGTCTATCTATCTGTCTATCTATCTGTCTATCTATCTATCTGTCTATCTATCTACCCCCTGCCCTCATGCTGTTGGGGACTGAACCCAGGGCTTTTGCAATGAGCTACATCCCCAGCTCTTTTATTTTTTATTTTGTGATAGGGTCTTGCTAAGTTGCTAAATTGCCCAAGCTGGGCTTGAACTTGCAGTCTACCTGCCTCAGCCTCCCAGAGTTCTGGAGTTACAGATATCAGCTGCCAAAGCTGGCGTGTGAGTCTGTACTTTTATCCTGACACCAGCGACGTACTATCTCGATACTCTAATTCACTGTAAGTTTTGACTTTGTCTTCCTGCTTTGTTCTTTGGAAAGGCTTTTGACTATTTAGGGGCCCTTTGAATTTCTTTTCTTGTTTCCTTTGAATTTCCATATAAATTTTAAGATCAATGTGTTGATTTCCACAAAGAATCTAGCTGGGATTTTGATAGAGATTATGTTGAACCTGAAGATCAATTTGCAGAGTACTACTATGTTAAAAATATTAAGT